TACTCTCTGTTTGTGTTGGATGGAAGAATCAGAAATAGAACTCTGGCCAGTCTTCTATCTACACAACCATGATTGTTTTATAGATCTCTAAACACGTAACAATCAGGTCTGTTACTCTTTATTGGTGGAGAAGTGCATGGAAAAGAGATGAAGATATCTCCTTAGTCCTTACCGAGCAAATAAATTCTTAAAATAATTTCCCAAAAAGTAAAAAAAAAAATATTTGCATTATACTAAAGGCATTAAGCAGTATCTTTTTAAGTGTCTTGCCAAGAGTTCAAACATGGAACTAACAAAACTACTCCTGTAATCACCATAAAAATTAATGACCTTGAAGCTGGGAAGGCTTGGATAACGGAATCTGCACCTCCATTACATTGTTACCTTTATGACCAAATTTTTTTCAATTGGTAATAGCCTATTATAAAAGTCTTAGGTTTCCTTATGTGTTAAATCAGTCACTGTATAGAGAAAAAAAAAATCAGAAATTTTAAATCCCCTGGAAATTAGTCACTGAGATAGCAGTTTATTTGACTCACGGAAGAATCCTACTGTTAGGATGAACTGGCTAATAAAATCCAGAGAAAAAGGAGAGGTGTGTATTTTGAGCATATTCTAAATGGTCACATTTGAACCTTGCTTCTCCTTGGTGAACCTCAAGTAACATTTACTGCTAGGAGTGGGTCCATGGACTTCTATTAAATTTCTTTCTTAAATTTGTCACAGCCTGAGAATCTGCCATTTCTCTGGCCCCTACTGCAGGTAATGAACAATGTGCCCTCTACTGTATTGCACTTTAGTTATCCTTTAGATGTTCCTTCACTTGCTGTAATCCTATATGGCCAGGATTTATCCTAATTCCTTAAATTCAGCCTTATTTTCATTCAACTCCATTGAAAGTATCTCTTACATATTGAGCAAATGTTGCATGAGGAACTCTCTGCATTACACAAATGCAGGCAAGGTGATTAGACTTGGACAGCTGACTGGTGTTGAAGTTCTTGTGTCAAAGATTCCTGTAGTTATTTTTTTTCTTAATCAGTCTGGAAGCAACATGTTGCTATAGGCAACTTGTTTACAGAAGAACATAAAGTCTAATATATACTATTCAGTGATCCAGCCACTCACGTGTGTGTGTATGAATTGCATACTGTATTCACAAAAAAAAATAAAATTGGAAAGGCACAACATGAGGCAATTTTCATAAAAGACTAACAATGCTGACAGTAGGTGTCCTTTTAACTGAAGACTTTTTTTTCTTCGGGTCTCTTCAGTAAGAGTGTAAGGTCTTTAAAATAACAAAGTTAATTGTAGCTAGCACTGAAATGATAAAAAAAAGATTTGACTCTCTATGGGAGGCTATTTTTTCAATTGATGAAAGGAGAGAGATGTCTGACAGAATAATAGGATTAATTTTAAAAATATGCTCAGATTTGGACATTATGTCCAAAAGCAATGACATGATTACTGTTGTCTTTAAAGAATGTACAAAAGTTTAATTTTAGGGAAAACACTGAAAATGCTAAGACAGTAGACATTTGATTTGCTTTGATGACTTAATAGACAATTTAGCTACCTTTCAAATTGATGGCTGACAATTGAAAAGGGTGCATTTTAAATAAGCTGTCTGGATTTCACAATCTCGGCTTCTAAGGGCTTTACTGGAAATTGTACTGTTAATATCTTTGGTAACAAGTCCAAGTTTTCTTGAGTAGGTTATTTTGGGCACCACCAACTTCCCCTGTCCAACAATATGGGCAAGGAACACACAGCTTTACCATACTGATCTATAAGGAAAAGTCAATCACATTTTATACAATTATTTTTGAAAGTGAGATCCTGATCTTGTAATGAGTTTATTTTCAAAATATTTAAAATGGTATTTTGTTCCATGAACACAGAGCTGCCTGAAAAGAAACTTTTACATGTTCACACACTGAAGCTGGATAAAGATAATATAAGAAGCTATTTTGAATTCCCTGACCTTCACAGATTGAAGTTTCAACTTCAATCAGTGCTAACACAGTTTTTCTTCTTCCCTCCCCTTTTCACAATACAATAAAATTTTATTTGAATATTGTAGTGTGGGTTATAAAATCTCAGAGAATTGAAGTGGCAAGTCTCCAGGATCTGACTGTGCTAAGGGAAGAGATAAATTACCTTTCTTGAAGAAGAGAGTGATTGCTTCATGTTTAAAACCTTTCTGCTATTAGGAATGAAAAACAAACACTTGGCTTTTGGTCTGTGACCTCCCTGCAATCTCTATGAAGGAAATCACATAAATGTCAGCGAAACTAGGCCTTCACATAGGATGGGGTTTGAAACAATTTCCAGAGAAAGTGGGGGCTTTGCCAGCTCAAAGAATAACATTTTTGAAAGACATTTTGGGGACAGGTGTATTATTATGCATTACAGTAACTGAACTCTTCCAACTTTTGTTGTTTTAAGCAAAAGAAATATTAGGAAGATTTTAGATTAATATTAATATAACTTCTACCTCTAAAAACAGAGAACATTTTTAACATTTTTAAAGTCAATAAAGTATGCTTAGAGGAGCATTCTTGTTATACCAGAAATACATTTTATAAGCAAATGTATTGTTTTTCTGCAATAGAATATATATATATATATATACACACAATGTTATTCTACAGGATTAATCTGTCCCTTTTCTATGTAATAACAGAGTTCTAACATTAATAAGAAACCTAAGTAATATAATTACCTCTGCTTAGAACATTAGCTGCAATACTAACAGTCCTTGTCATTGTTAAATTTTAAATCTTCATTCCCAAATACACATGAGACAAAATAAATAATTTTGTTTAACTGCAGAAACCTTTCTCCCCCAGATTCCTTTCTTTTCCCCTCTAAGACTTTCTCATGCTATTTTAGTGGTAGCATAACACGTTAACGTCTTTATGCTGCAATTTGCTGATATGAAGTTTCATTGTACATGTTAATATAGGAATGCTACAAGAAAGTTGCTTGATCTTCTTCCAAGTTTTAAATACCAATTTTAAGCAGCAATAGTCTCATTCACTAATTGCTGTTTATTTCTTGCATGCTGCTGTATTTTTCCTTTTCCTATCTTCTGTCTCTACCACAGCAGAGTCTTTTTAATTGCAGCACAATTTTTCATTCTGTTCAGGTCAGTTTTATTTCCCTTCCTCCCCCAGCTTTAACAATATTTGCACAGAAAAATACAGAGTGCTGTGTTATTTTTGGCATTTGATAAAAGTAGTCAGTATATTCTAGCTTTGCATTAAAACCAAGGTTAAGTACTGCTGTAAGTAAGGTGTGGACCAAAACTGAAAAAGCTGCTTAGCTAAAATGTTGGGGTTTTTTCAAGAAGTCTTATTCACATTCAAAAAATAATTAGCAGTGATGCAAATCTATGATCTCATTCCAAGAGAAAAAAAAAAAAAAATCAGTTTCCTCCCAAATTTGTCTCAAACTAGGACACCTTTTCATTAACTGGTTAAAAAAAGAAACAAGGGAAAAATCTATAATTTTTTTTCTGCATTTCCAAAGATGGTATCTTCTTGTTATAGATGCTTTAAGCCTGAAAGAGCCATAATGTTCTAGGCTCCAGCCTTTCCTCCCATTGCCTCTTAGGTCAAGAAATATAAATTAAAACATTAACAGACGTTTTGCTTTTAGTACCTAGATTTGGGGTCTCTTCAGGCATCCTGGAGGCTTTTTTTGAACTGCTTAATTCTTCAAGAAAAAAGTATAAGCTTCCTTGTACTGTTCTAGTGTTACCAAACTGAACTTTATTTAGTCTGAGTATACTTCAAGGAAAGAAGCCGTCATCTCTATTTATGATGTCTCGTGTATCTGTGTGTTCATAGAAAAATTAGTTCTTCATTCTGACCCAAGTCTAAAAATTGGTCTCAAATTAATAGATGAAAAGCTCATATTCATTAAATATTCTGTGTTCACTCTCTTATCAATTGTTTTCTTCTCTGCACAGTTTTTTTCTCCATCTTTCTGTTCCCTACACTGTACTTGTAATGCAGCGAAATGTCAAAGTACTTAAACCAAAATAACTCAGCATTAGATAAAACAATGAATAAAATTGTGGGTTGATTTCCCCTCCTCCTGCTCTTCTTTATATCCAAAAGTTATAAAAGACTATACAAAATTTCCATGGAGGCTAGAACACAAGTGCAGCTTAATAATGAACTTCACAAAATGCCTTTTGACATGCTTTTATTACTGACACCGCTTACCAGGCTCCTGCTGAGTTTAGGGGCTCTTCGCTCTGTGCACTGTGTAAACAAAGAAGAAGCTTTATACTGCACAGGGGGAGTGAAAGTAGGAAGTTATTCTTCATCTTCAAGAAGGATGGTGAACAGGGACTGTGTTTATTCTATTTTCAAGAGTATCTCTCTCCTGATAAGGTTTGACCTCTTAAGACTGACACTACAGGATATGTTATAGTTGAATGAACCTGTTAAGACAACCAGGAAAAGGAGGCTGAAAATTGAGTAGATGCTGTCCTGTGTATTTTCAAATTTCATAAATCCCAAATTTCAGAAAAGTTAGAGTAATAATAAGACTTAATACAGGACTTTCCAGCAGTCCACTATTCCATAGTACTTGAAATAAATGTTGACTTATGTTATTTCAGTTCTGATAAGTACTTGTATTACAGTTATTTTTGGAACACTCTGATGAGATTTAGATAAAAACAGACAACTTGGAACTGTCATAGAAACTCTATTTAAAACATAACTTACATATAAATAACATATTAAAACCTTTTTGTATCTAAGTGAATAAATACAGAGGAACACCCATAAAGAATCTTGAAAACCTCTGCTACAATTTTGTATTACTTTGTTGTAAAATTTATGTTAAATAGGCCACTTTAATCTCTTTAAGTTACATGTGAGCCTGTTAGATCTTTAGTTCCTCTTCCATTTCACTCCACATACCTGCTATTTAATGCAAGTGGAAAAGATTTTAAAATTCCTCTTTCCCTTTGTTCACAGGACTGGAATAGAGGACAGGTTTCCATCACAGAGGAGAAAGAACTTTTATAATGACAAAACAATTAAGTTAATTTTCACTATTTGACTGAAATATGTTTTTTCTAATTGAGAAGCTAACAGTAAATACTAATACCCTCAGAACACTGAAGTCTCCTTTTGAATCATTCTTCCCATCTCACCACCAGATTTGTCAGGCATTTTCTTGGCATGTATGCAGCAAATGTAAATGTTTAAACTGGAGCTACGGTCTGGAAAGCATGGTCTGAAGGAGAGAGATGTAGAGTCTAGAAACTTCTGTCAATTTGTGTTACTTTGTAAAGTTGTAAAGGTAATTAAGTCACCACATTTGTCTTAAAACATTAGCAAATGTTGCCTCTGTACAAGCACACATTCTTATATCTCTTCTAGTTTTCTGTTGTGCAGTACAACTTTACAAAAAATATTAGTTGTAAACAGCAAACTGGATCAAAAATAGACAATCTTGCCTTCTAAACTTGAGGCAGGATGAACAGCAAAATTGTTCACCTTTCTGCTTCCAATATTCTCTGACACGGTCCATAATGTGATCAGAAGTCTTCTCTCTTCAAGTTTCACAAGTCATATTTTTCAGTACAGAAATTAATTTCTAAACAGAGCAGCAATAAGATTTCCTTTAAAAACTATCAAATCCAGACATTTTTCTTAAATTGTTGATTTTTTTAATGTATGAACTTAACGATAATTGATTCCTGGAATATTTATTTTTAAATAAATTTTTATTTTTAATTAAATTTGTAATAATTTTTTTAAAAAATATTTTTTTTTATCATCCATGTGTCTGTGGCCATTTTGATGTTCTGGCTGCTGCCAATGTATGGTAGACTTCTCTGTACTGGCTGTGCAGTCACATGCTGTTCAACCATTGCCAAAACCATTTTCACATTTTCCACTAATAAAACTGCAGTACAGAGAAATTGACACTTTTATAGTGTTACTAGAAATAATAACCCTTTAAGATTTAATATGTTAAAAAGGGAAATAAAACAGCATCTCTCAAGATGGCTGAGGCTGTGAAACTCAGCTCTAAAGACTATTTTTTCTGTACATTGCCTTTGCTTTTAGACTTCATCATCACTTCATCTTATACTGAAGAAAATATGAATTGCTCAACAACAAAGTAAAATTTAGGAGAATTTCTAACTCCTAAAAGAGATTAAAGTACACTCAATCTCAAGAACATTTGTTAGAAAGCCAGCTTTACTCATGTTTTTGCATCCTTCCACCCACAGAAGCAACTGTAAAAACTGAATTTTTTATTTTTCTGGGAAGAGAAAACTGCAAAACCAAAACTGCTAGTGTTTGGAGACCAGGTAGGTGTGCATAATAACTTTTTCTGTCTGTCTTCTTTTTCTTTCTAATGACATGCCCTGAAAAGTTCTAATATTACACGAAGGAAGGGGACTTGAGGTAATCTGTTAGTGGGAAACATAAGATGTACAATCTCTTGGGAAGATTGCTGAGGGGATGGAAGGGCTCAATTTCTTGCGTTAGACAGTCCCAGTTGTATGTGTCATCCAAAGAGGGGAGCATGGTGCCTCTACCACCTAATCTGCTTCTGTGGACTACCCAGTGGTGCTGCATATTGGATAGAGCTCTGAATCAGCACTGAGACTGCTCTCATATCACACCATTATCTCTCTACCATGAAGGTCTTTGCAGCTGATATGCTCAACCTGAGTTACTTATTCAAAACCACACTGGTAGGTAGCTCTCAGAAAGATGTTTTATACATTTCCTGTGAAATCCAGTGTTTATGGACTACACACAAACTGGCCCAGGTTTCTTTTAAGTGTCTGGCACAGAAAATCCAGGCATGTTGGTGTGGTTGCATGACAAACTGCTTTAGATCCTGCTAGGATATCCATTAAGTGACAGGCTTGTTTTCGCTCAACCATCACGGAAGATGAAGCCTTGGAGTCCCATAGCTCTGTATTCTCAGCTGTGTTGGCATTATAGACCCAGTTATACCCAGCAAAAGCAAAATCTTCCCTGTCAAAGATCCTATGATCAGCACACTTAGTAAGAAATTACTCAACTTTAGGCATGCATTCATTCATTCATTCATTCATTCATTCATTCATTCACAGAAAAGCAGGAAAAAGATAAAAGGTTAGGCATATACCCACATTTCCTCTTAACTACCTGTTAGTCTTTACTTTCAATTCTTGGTAAACCAACTTGCACTCAGATCTGGTCCAGGAAAAATAAACTAAGCTTCTACAATGTGCTTTATTTAGCTAGGTGTAACTGTAGTGATACAGTGACAGCCTTAGGTCAAGAGGATTAAACTGAGCAATGCTTACAGCTGCTCATCATACTGTTTCATCTAGGTAGTGGATGTACCTTTGGCTGCCTTTTAATCTTAAAAGTAGGAAGTAGGTTAAGTATCCCAACTAGCAGTGACACAGGAGGACGTCGCTCCTAGAGGACCCAAGACTGAGTTTAAATCAGGGACAGTTGTATTTGGAGTTCCACTGCACAGAATTAGCCCTTTTTCTCTTAAACACCATGAAATCTAAATGTATTATGCAAAGGAAGGGAAAAATAAAGGC